GCGTCACTCTATCTACTGATCTTTCCTGGTCGCCTCACATCTTGACGATTTCTAAGAAAATATTCCGTCTTACCTTCTACATCAAGAAGTTAAGACATTCTGGAATAACCCAACCCTTACTCCTACAATTTGTTAACTCCCGTATTCTGCCTATTATTCTCTATTGTTCCCCCTTAGTTTTTCCAGGGCTACTGAAGAAAGACTATACCTTATTACGCAGGATGTTAAAGGTTGTCAGCAGGGTAAGCAGTGTGCCACTTAGCCAGCTTGTTAATATTCTGGTGGACAGGCACATGGACTCATGTGAAAAATGGGCTAAATCCATTTTATCTAACTCACAACACCCTCTTCATTCACAACTCTTCCCTTGTATCTCTTCAGGGAAAACCAGAAGCCTATATAGAAAACTATATGCTCGCACTAGTAAGTACAAAAACTCATCCATACCTTACTTAGCTCGTGTTCTGTGCGATAAAGAAAGCATTAGGTGTGAAACCTATAACTTATTAAATAGTCAGTAAAACAACTGGATCTCGTCTTTCCAACTCATATCATTTATAGGTACAACGTTTTCTCTCTTTTCCTTTCTCTCTACCTTTTTTTATGTGCTGTTTTGTTTCTTTCTTCCTTACAAACTCTACTTAAAACATTCTTGTTCGTTCTTTCACACTCTGTATATCTCGACCTTTTGTTACCGCTTACGCCAGTAAATATGCTAGTAGTATCTACTCTTCTAACACCTTCAAACATTCTGTTCAATTTTGGCTTTGCTACCGACATGCCAATATGTTGTTGTCAAAACTAACTGAGATTACCGATAATCTATGTAGAATTTTATTTATTGTTAGTGTACTAACTGGATGCAATATTGTAGTAAAATGCTGAGAATTCCATTCTGTATCACAAATACTGTTTTGGAATAAAGCTATTATCTTATCTTATCTTATAATTAACTCTGGGAATAGAAGTGTTCAACATTATGTGATAATGATAAAGCATGGAACCCTCTTGATCTGATCTCTTAGGTTTGGGGTCCTTGGATGATAAGATATAAGTCACAAAACAAGGACGAAAAATAGCTTTCTAATACTCTCAGCTTTTATTGATTCTCTGACGAAATCTGCATTGAAGTAATTTGGCCCTCAAAGTAACCTGGATTAGAATAAAACATTTGCTAACTTGGCCGGTTCGGATTGTAATTTTATTTCTGTGTAAACACATGGAAAATTCCCGCTATAACATATAGAGAAAATCAAAACAAGTGGTGATTTAGCGTAGAGACTCTTTTCAAATGGCGACTTTATTATCAAGCTGTACAATTGTATTTATATAAGTCAACTAACTAGTCACTCATTAGTTGGACTATGATGATATATGCCACAGGACAGACAGAAAATACCAGCATTTTCAGACAGTTGGTTTAACTTTAAGTCGGCGGTTTGCACTAAGGACCTTGACGTTACAAGGTGAGTTCATCAATTATTCAGCCGTCGGGATGGAATTTCATGCGTCATCGATTTTAAATTCTGTCAATTCACGATATATATAACGCCACCACCAGCGACCTACCAACCTAGATGATAGACCATAGTGGTCTCATATTCTTCGCAGAACCTCAGGCAACTTCACCCTATGGTCAGTCATGATGGGATACAACATTTATTTTCAAATATTGGTCTGTTTTGAAATCACTCTAATGATCTTTTGACTTACAATAAATCCACAAATTTTGCTTTAAAGTGTCCGTTACGAATACTGCTGTTCCCTTGAGTTCCTAGTGGAACATAAGGTTTGGACAGCACATCTCAATTTTTTTCTGTCCTTGCATAATAGCCTGTTTATTAGAGGCGTCACACAGTGAGTAAAACAGTATTACTATTTACTGGATGACACAGTTTTGAACACAATTTATTGTTCATAATCATATCATCAATTATACTCACACGACTTCGAAACTTGGATTTTATAGTTTTCTTTGTCCTCTCCCATTTGTCGTCATAGGGGTAGTCGACTTTTCCAGATGTCCGAGTCGGTAGGTGTTGAATCATTCGATAAACAAAGCCTCTCCTATCAATCTCTCCTCCACCTGTTACATTAGATTTTAAACTCTCATCCTATCCCACAGCCCATTGTATGGTTGTGTGCAACTGCATGTAGTGAGTGGCATAGCTGAACCAATCTCTAGATTTTTATCTTATTTGGGTCAACAATCTAGATTTAGCTAGGTTTTTATTTTCGGCTAGTCTGACTGACTGCCTTGTTCTACTACTTTGATCTATGTATTTGACCTGACAATCATTGTAGGTAGGGTATTACATAAACTAAATTTTGTTTTAACGGCTCCACATGGTCCACCATTTCACCGACAAGGCTTGATTCTAATTGAGTTTGTGGGTGGTTTGAATGCCAACCACTTTATACCTGCCAGCATTGTTAAGAATTCTGCGTAAGCTGGTTTCCGAGGTTCCTTCCTTGTATGGAATTACTACTGATGATTTAGATTCCTTATTGTTGGTGTGGGGCAAGAAATAAAAGTGGCTGGTCGGTGAGATTCCCAACCACTGTGCCACCGACGCACAAAATCTGTGTCACTGAGGATCCGGGTCAGTAGCATGGTTTGTGGTACGCACCCACCGGGATTCGAACCCAGGGCCTTCTGGTTACAAAGCGAGCTCGTATACCATTAAGCCACTGGGACGGAAGATTCGTTTATTGAAACAACTGGAAATAGGTGCACTAGGAATGATTCATCACCTGTCCCTGATATCTGGAGAATTCTACTACCCGGACGACCACAAATAGGAGAAAACAAAGAAAACTATAAAACTCAAGTTTCGACGTCGTGTGATTATAATTGATGAAATGATCATGAACAATAATGAATTGTGTTCAAAACTGTGTCATCCAGTAAATAATAATATTGTTTTACTCATTGTGTGATACATCTAATAAATAAACTAATATGGAATGACACCACACTCCCAAACCTTGCATAAAACTTGAAATGGAAGCCAAGATTTGGGCCTTGATGTGAGAGTAACAAGGAGAGAATTATACGAACAAGACATAAAAGCATGTGGTCAGTTAGAAAGTCAGTGTGAAATGATGCCGGTAAAAGGGAGTTCAGTGCGTCGGTGGCACAGTGGTTAGGACTCTCGCCGACCATGTACATGGTCCGGGGTTCGAGCCCACGCCGGCGCACACCTGATATCTATGGTCGGCCTGCAAAATTTGGGCTACCGATATGACATGATGAAAATTCCACACTTGTACCAAAAATACAGTGTGGAATCAAGCTGTAAATCAAAAAAAATAAATAAATAAAAATAAAAAATAGATATCGGCTGTTGTGGTTCAATGTACCACTAAGAACTTCAGGAATAAACACTTATAATATTAATTATTGAATTGAATTTTTGATTTTCCCGTCGATTGATTGGACCGAAGTGCTCGGTCTCAGGTTGACATGTCGGCTTCTTGTGCAGATGCTTCGACGATGTCTGGGCATTTAATTAGTATACAATTGGTGGATGGTGGCGCATCCTGGATTTCACTGCTAGCCACCACCCAGCAATTGTATACCACTTATAATATTATATATGGTTTTTTAAAAAACTTTTACCTGGTGAGGGAATTGAATCATAGGTGTGAATGCATAAAATAATAATAATAGTAGTAGTAGTAGTAATAGTAGTATGAAATGCAATTGGAACTAAAATGTTTGTGACTATAATCATAGTTGAATGGCAAAACGATTAATTTTAAAAATTAGCTGTACGATTACGCTAAGAAGAATTGATTTAGCATGATAAGTGGAACCAGAGAAATAATACCGGGGACAGTTCAAAGTGAGAGTAGTAATAGTAACAATTGACATTGTAATAAAGGAAGAGTATACAAATTGAATAGACAAAATGAAAAATAAATGGTAGAGCCAAAATATGATTGGAGATTAAGACCATGAAAGTTGGAGGGGTTGAACGAACTTTTTCTATACACATAGATCTGGCTTTTCTGTTTCGATAGCCAAAGCTTCAGCAATACAGATGGGTCGAGTACGTAGTGATTTGGGTAAATTACTCTTTGCCTTGTAGATGACTTTAAAGGTGGAGGCTATAGAGATAGGGTGATCATTATCGATCAGATGTTCCGTTCAATGATCGCGCGTCTTTTTGCTCCAATTGCACTTCTTTGTAACCATTCAGGATAGTGTTCTCGCACCCTCTTGGACAAAACTCGAGTCGAACGACTGATATACCTAGCTCCACACGAGCGAGCAGGTGAATTGATAAACACACATAGAGTTGGTTAACAGCGGGATCTTGTCCTTCAGGTTATTGAACAGTAATGGTCGACTAGTAAAAGCTATTCTCAGAGATGCAGCAAGGAATATTCTTTCCAGGGACTGTGATATCCTTCGTTTCATGATATCGGAAGTTAAGTTCACTTTGAATTTCAAGCTCATGTAAAGTATTTTCTTGGGTACGGATGATAAGTCACGTTTTATAGGATTTTAATGTATATTGTTGTCTATAAAACGTGATGGAAACCCATTTCATAATAGGATTTCCCTGAAAAGATATAACTCATCTTCCACAGTATCAGGGCTACATGGCAAGCGACTGGATAAGGTTTCGTTTTCGACCAATGGGTACCCAGCTGTAGACATTTGTCAGTTGACTGACCATTCCATGACAGCTTTCGACAAATCGATCTCTTCAGAGTTCCATCGATCCTCCTTGATAAGTTCACATCTAGGAAATGGATGCTCAATTTGTTCTCCATTTCGAGTGTGAATTTTATCTCAAGATGGCAACCATTAAATTCGTTGAAAAGAGTCTTTTCGCTGAATCACCACTTATTTTGATTTTCTATATGTGTAAACGTTTCGTTATCAGACTAGTTGCGTTAATCAGTGTTGTTTATTTTTGGTGTTAATATATATATATATATGTACTCACAAATTGATGGATGTTAAATTTACTCTTCTTTTTATATAGATCTCAATGATATTTCAACAACACCATCTCCATTCGGCGGTGGATTGAACTCTACAACTCCACAATTCTATTTTCCCACGGCTCATTCTGCGTCATCATCAACATCACTTGTTCCTTTTATCCCGCCAACTAATTCCGTAGTACAGTCGACTAATCCATTTCTGTTGAATAGTAATAATAATATTAACACATCATCATCAAATCAATTGATGCTTGCAAATTTCCATCGAATCAATTCACTAATCCTAATCCAATGTTGACAACATTTCCTGCACCAATGATGAAGTCTACTTGTAAGATGTCCTTCTTTTTTTAATTATTGGTGTGGCTGATAATGGGTGTTGGTTTTTACCAGGGATTTGATTGGTTACAACTGTTGTTTGATGGTAGGGTGAGATTAGTTGTTAGAGAACCAGTAGAGAGTAGTTGGATGGCTGCTTTGCCCCCAGTTTAGGACTCTTCAGTAGCATGCACTCTCTCTCTGGGGTTCGAACCAAGGATCTTTCAATTACAAGGTAAGCTCATAGGTAGACCATTTAGAAAGAAGTGACAGACAGAGCTTACCAAGTCGCCTTGTAACTGGAAGATTCTTGGTTCGAAGCTGGACGAGTGAGTGAGTACTACTGAAAAGTACCGAAATTCGGCAAAACAGCTGTTCAATACTCTGTACTGGGTTTTCCAGTGGTTCTCTAACAACTGTTATCAGCGCCTTAGTCAAATCACATCATTCATTGACAAAAGTTGAAAGTCATGAGACGATGACTATTGGATTCTGTCCCAGTGGATGGAATGGTCAATGGACGCTAACCTCGTAATCTGAGAGTTCTTGTTTCGATCTCCGGTGTTACTCTGGCATCCTGTTTGCGAACTACTAAACAGTACCACTTTATTTGGAGAATAAAAAAGCTGGTCACTAGTATTCTCTGGTTTTCAATGGCTCTCTCTAACTTGATATCAATCTATGATCAAAGGTGTATTCAGAATTATATTTTTCTATGTATGTTGTACTTAATACAATAGTCAATGAGCAGTATCACATCAGAATTTAAGACGTTTTCAGCAATGCACTCACCAATGAACCCACTTGAGATTTAACTCATTACCTCCAAGTTATATAGTGAACCTGGTGACTATTCAGCCATTATTCAGGCAATGCCAGCAGATTGATCACCGACAAAATCTCAGTACGAATACAGAAGGCTCATTTAGCATATACACCCGCCAACTTACGCCATCTCTGGCTTAGTAGACGTGATATCCGGCTGGCTGACTGACTGGCTGTCGACCAAAGGAGGTGTGTACTTCACATCGGCATTTCTATGTGCCTCATTTTTGGCTTAGTGAGATATAGCCATTGAAAGTGGCAGACATGAAAAGGCTGGCTAAATGTTATTGATTCATATAACAGCAGTTAAAAAGGGAACTAACTTTTGATCCCAAACTTAGTTATAGGACAAAGCTGCCCATTGAGAAAATTATTTTAGGAATTCAGTTATTGCCTCACATCTACTGTCTTTAAATTCCAGGGTAAAATATATAAATAAAAACAGACGGGGTGTAGCAATGGGGTGGAACATCAATATCCCCAATTTGTCACAGATATCTTCATGGACAGCTGGGAAAATATTGCTGGCTAACTGTCTTTGATCATAAGTTTCTGCGTTCTCTCTTCCGTTCTAGGTAGTGTAATGGGTTGAGTAATATCGAGGTCATTTAATCAGGTTTGAGTGATTCATTCATCATATAGGTGAGTGTAGAGTATTTGATGACTTCAGTGACGGTCTTCAGCATTGTAGGAATTATGACATAGTCCTTTATCAAGCAAACCAGGAAAGAATAACCAAGAGTGAACAATAAAGAAGAATAGGTAGGATGCAAGAGTTTATGAACTGTAAGAGGGAGGGGGGTTAGTTATACCCGAGTGCCTTAACTTTCTTAATGTAAAATGTCAGGCGGAATATTTTACTGGAGATTGCTAAGACATGGGAGGACCAGGAGAGATCAGAAGAGCGAATAAGTCCAAGATACTTAATTTCTGATTTAATTCCTATATCATTATCGTCAATCTTACAACTGTCATGAGAATCGACGGCTTCTTTTAACTGTCTTTTACATACATCTTAAGCTGAAATTAACAGTTTGACATTTAGAAGGATTCAGTTGAAGACCGTTAGACTCAGACAATTTACTGACTTCCGACAGAAAGCTATTTATTTTGGTACAATCTAGCTGTGTAAGTGAAACTGTTAAGTCATCAGCAGCGTACTTCACAAAGTTTATTTCGCATACCTCCTTTGTAGGTGGAGGACAGGATTCGAACCTTTCACTGAGTCAATTGCCTAAACCAATTTGGCCATAAGTTGACAATTTACTCAATAGTACATATCCAGATTGAATGTTTCTGTCAAAATGTCCTCGTCTGTGTTCGCCGATTACTATTATTGTTATTATGATTACTATTATTATTATTATTATTTCAAATAGTATGGAAATAATTCCGCCAGTTTTCTTAATCCTTCTTCTTATTTCCATCATTTTATAGTCAACAGTGCTATAGACTTTGATTCAGCCTTCAAGAATAATAATAATAATAGTAGTAGTATTAGCAGTACTGGTTATGGTTCCAAGTCTTCTCCAAATATGGGTAATGTTTTTGTGTTTGGAGTGGTATCCGCACTTTAGAAAATCTTTCCACTGATTTCATTTAACTTGATTTTGGTGTACAAGTGTGCTTATGTGTATGTGTGTGTCTGTGTGTTTGTGTGTGCGTGCAGTCATATTATGCTGTTTCCAACTATGGTGCACTTATGGCTTACAGGTCTGTGTGTGTATATATATGTATATACACAACGTACATTTTGTTTTGTGTGTGTGTGTGTGTCGGGTAGTATATTCATATGATTTTCACTGAAACTGGTGATGAGAGAGGTATCACCTATTTCAAACATATTTTTTTGGGGGGGGAGGGTTTGTTGCTATCCTCAAGTTAAAATATCCGAGTTATTAAGTAACCAATATCCGGTCACACTCATGACCTGATTATATTGATTTTTTGGAGTATGAAGAGAATCTTGCTGCTGTCGATTGATTACCTATGGACGACCACTTCTTTGACTTAAGCACCAACTTGGTTTTTTCCACCTATATGGGTCACGAATCCTACTCCCACTATATACCTATTTTTCATCTTGGACAAATGGGTATGTTATCATTAGGTCTCACGCGATTCAGTGTAGCACTTAGCCTGGTCTATAAATGTTAGTCTGTTCCGAGTAATATTGAGGTTAGGAATGAATAAGCCAATGGATCGAATGATCAACAATTTCATCTCATAATTTGAAAGTCTTGAGTTCAATCCTTGATGTGAGTCAGGTTGTTGGTGTGTACTGGTCACCGTTAAATCAATCAAATCTCTCCAAACGTACTCATGAACTCACTAATCTTATGTTTGCTAGTGACTGGTTGGCTACAGAATGAATTTGCCTTGAGTGTTCTCCTAAGAAATGCGTAACCAGTGGGATCCAATAGGTCGGATGTGAAGACAAACACTTGCCAGTGATGACACCGGATCGGTACCATACCAATTGCGCTAAAATCATAAATTGGTAGAAGTTAGAATTCATGGGCTGGTCATTGGCTGAATGCTTCCATGCAACCGGAAGGTCGTGGGTTTGAAACCCGATGGATACGTACTGATGATAAGTCCCGAACTAGGACAAAACAGCTGCCCAGTAAGCCTGGGTGTGTTTCAATGCTTCTCTAACTGATATCAATCCGTGACCGGGCTTAAAACTATTCAATGACCACTTGAAAACATACAATCACTTACATGGTGGTGGGTGTTTTGTTCTGAAGTCTTCCTCATTCTGTTCACAAATTGCTTTCACACTGTAGGAAACTTGATTTTGCTCAATTATTAAAATTACTTAACACACTACTCACATTTTTATTCATTTTGTGTATAGCGAGAATATTTATTTCAGATATTTAGAAAGAATAACAAAAAATAATTGAGGAGAGAATATCCTCCTCGATAAATTCCTCTTCCGGCTCTACAATTATATATACGCATATTTATCTACTAAGAATATTCTAGGATAATCAACATTAACAATATTAGTGTTTTTAAATAATATCGATTTGTTAAGTAAGATCACAGTGGTGGAATTACAGTTCAAAAAAGACGCTTAAAACGCGACTGGCCGTATTCAGGCAGTCGCCAGGGGTTCTGGTGGGAAGCTCTGTGATGACCAGTAGGGTACAGTAGGCTGAAGTGAGGACAGTTATTCATTGAAGGAGACATTGCGAAGTGGTCGCGCTATGTTGTGAATTGGAATTGTGAATTGTTGGAATTCATGAGCTGATCACTGGATCGGGTCGCTAGTGGCTCGCTAGCCTTGTAACCAGAAGGTTCTGGGTTCGAACCTGCTGGTGGTGGATGCGTACTGATGAAGCAGAGGGATACTACTTACTATCTGATGGTTGCCTAAACCACCTTCTCGGTAGACGAAGGTTCAGGGGTTCGGATCTGTGACATACTTACACCAATGAGCTATTATACGGCTCTAAGAATCTGTGGGATTTTTGTTGAATTAATTCAGGTCCCTGATTTCCACTAACTGGATAAGTAATGAGTTCAAAAGTCTTCTCTGTCAGCTCTAAGACTTGGTCAGCTAGGCAGTTTCACATCAACGCTTACACATTAGGGTATGGTGCACCATGTTGTATGTCATTAAACAGGCCTGTGATTGTTGAATAATGTGAATCTCTAGCAATAAACCAACCAAACAACTTTATTGCCCGATAAATATGCTTAAGGGAATCGAGATGGATTGGATATACAGTGACTTCACGCTCAAAAACCTTTGAATGAAACCCATATAGGAAACAATGAGTTGGATGTCGCTTTGAGGGTGACGTAGAGTAGATCGTGCAGGGAAGAAATGAACGTGTATGGGCAATTGTGGAACCAGCTAAAAAATAAACTGCAGAGAACAAGATAAAATAGAGATGTGTTGTTGAATTTTATTTATTTATTTATTTGAACGCATAAAAACTTGGTACAATATGGCACCAAGAAGGATGCGCCACACAATAATAAAAAACAACATAGATCAAATAAAGGAATATATATATATATATAAGTAGAGAACGGATAAAGAACTTCATCTGGAAGGAAAACAGTCATGCTTAACAAGTTCAAACAGTGTTCGGTAACCATCATCGGGAAGGGAAGAAAGAAGGAAATTGCAACACGTTCGCCAGTGATGATTACGATTCTTGGCCATATCCA